CCCTTACTGCAATTTAAGCCCATTGCTTCTTGTCCTATCCTCGGAGGTTAAGGAGAACAATTTTTCACCCTCCTCCTTGTAACAATGTTTGATGTACTTGAAAACTGTTATCATGTCCCCCCTCAGTCTTCTCTCGTCCAGACGAAACAAACCCATTTTCTCCAATCTTCCCTCATAGGTCATGTTTTCTAGCCCTTTAATCACTTTTGTTGCTCTCCTCTGGACTTCCTCCAATTGGTCCACATCTTTCTTGATATGTGGCGCCCAGAACTGGACACAATACTCCAGTTGAGGCCTTATCCATGTGGAGTCGAGTGGAAGAATTCCCTGGGTTGTCCTTACTCCCCTTTTTATAGATAGGCACTATATTTGCTCACTTCCAGTCATCTGGAATCTCTCCCATCTTCTATGCGTTTTCAAAGATAATCGCCAATGGCTCAGATATCTCCTCAGTCAGCTCCTTGAGTATTCTAGGATGTATTTTCTCAGGCCCTGCTGTCCTGAAGACATCTAACTTGTCTAAGTGCTTTTTAACTTGTTTTTTCCCCTATTTTAGCTTCAGATCCTACCTCATCATCACTGGCATTCACTCTTTAGGTGTTTGGTCACTACTAACTTCACTGGTGAAAACAGAAACAAAAAAGGCATTTAGCATTCTTGCCATTGCCACATTTTCTGCTACAGACACCCCCTGACTTGTGCAATCGTTCCGTTCTGGAAAGCCTTGCGTCACTCGAATGTGGGGAGGCCGGAAATGTATACCCGTACGTTATGCAAAAATTTCCCCACCTAGAAAATCCTATTTCTGGCTTATGGAACTTTTTCCGTATGTGCGAATTTGCGTAAGTCGGGTCTTGTGTAACCCGGGGAGAGTCTGTATTGTCTTTCTCCCCCCACCCCCCATTGAGTAATGGGCCTAGTCTGTCCTTGGTCTTCCTCTTGCTTCTAATGTATTTGTAGAATGTTTTCTTGTTACCCTTTATGTCCCTTGCAAGTTTAATTTAGTTTTGTGCCTTGGCCTTTCCAGTTTTGTCCCTGCATGCTCGTGTTGTTTTTTTATATTCATTCTTTGTAATTTGACCTAATTTTCACTTTTTGTGGGACTTTTGAGTTTCAGATCATTGAATATCTCCTGGTTAAGACCCAGTGGTTTCTTGCCATACTTCCTATCTTTCCTATGCAGTGGGATAGTTTGCACTTTTGCCTGTACTGTCTCTTTGAAAAACTGCTAACTCTCTTAAGCTCTTTTCCCCCTTAGATTTGCTTCCCATGGGATCTTACCTATCAACTCCCTGAGTTTGTTAAAATCTGCCTTCTTGAAGTCCATTATCTTTATTCTGCTGTTTTCCCTCCTACCATTCCTTAGAATCATGAACTCTCTCATTTCACTTTCACTCAAATTCTCAACCAGTTCCTCACTATTTGTCAAAATCAAATCTAGGTCAGTCTCTTCCCTAGTTGCTTTCTCCATCTTCTGAAATAAAAAACGGTCCCCAATTCCACGAACTTGTTGGATAATGTGTGCCCTACTGTATTATTTTCCCAAGAGATAAGTCCCCCATCACCACCAGTTCCTTTGCTTTGTATGATTAAACTGACTAACCTAATTGCCTTCTGTGACAAGATAACTGGCTCTGTGGATGAGGGGAAAGCAGTGGACGCGTTATTCCTTGACTTTAGCAAAGCTTTTGATATGGTCTCCCACAGTATTCTTTCCGGCAAGTTAAAGTAGTATGGGCTGGATGAATGGACTATAAGGTGGATAGAAAGCTGGCTAGATTGTCAGGCTCAACGAGTAGTGATCAATGGCTCCATGTCTAGTTGGCTGCTGGTATCAAGCAGAGTGCCCCAAGGGTCGGTCCTGGGGCCGGTTTTGTTCAATATCTTCATTAACGATCTGGAGGATGGCATGGACTGCATGCTCAGCAAGTTCACGGATGACATTAAGATGGGGGTGAGGCTGGAGAGTAGGGATAGGGTCTGGAGTGACCTAGACAAAGTGGAGGATTGGGCTAAAAGGAATCTGATGAGGTTCAACAAGGAGAAGTGCAGAGTCCTGCACTTAGGACGGAAGAATCCCATGCACTGCTACAGACCAGGGTCCGAGTGGCTAGGCAGCAGTTTTGTAGAAAAGGACCTAGGGGTTACAGTGGACGAGAAGCTGGATATGAGTCAAC